GAGACAGAGAGAGAGAGTGTGTGTGTGAGAGAGAGAGAGACAGAGAGAGAGAGTGTGTGTGTGTGTGTGTGCGCGCGTGTTAGCAAAGATTATTCAGTAAACATCAAGAAAGGAGGCCTAACATTTTCCAGCTATGATTCTGCTGCTGTAAACGTTCAGTCTGCTGTCAGGAGATCCACATCAACAACACGTTACTGTCAGCAGCCGATTACTGAGTGCACTTAGTCAATAACAACAGGAGTATTTCATGTGCATGGAATATTGCTATTTAGAAGTGATAAATCATCAACATTATTAGATACCAAAGTACACTGGTGAAGAACACGAGTCTTCAGTCATTTTCGGTTAGTGTTGTTGACATCGTTCCCTATTCAGGTGGCAAATAAACGCGTCGCGGATTGTTTTGATAACTATTATTCACTTTATAACTATGTATCAACAACATACAATTACAGCGTATTTACCTAAGCCCAGCTCTACCTACTGACATCCCCGACTGTATTTCTCATCCCTACAGCATTTCTAAAACCCCAAATTAGATCCCAAACGTAGAAAATATTCAAATGTTAGCATGGCAAGGAGTCCGTTGTAAAGGTAGCTGCGAGGTCTGTAGTTGTTTACTCACTGCACTAGCTGCTAGCTGCTAATCACTCGTCTCCAGCTGATGTCTCGCACTCGCGTCTGATTCCGCTGAAAGCGGTGCAACACGACGCTTTTCCTCCCGAAAATGCTTTCAGCTCGTGGATCCGTGTCGGTTTCTCGAGGAGCTTGTCCGATTCGGCCCTCGGTGGAACTGCGATCACACCCGTTTGTTTACAATCCCGCAAGGCCAACGGGAAGTGCGAGCGAGAGCTGCAACTATCGCGATACAGACGAGCGAGATTCCCGCAGGCTCGCGGATCCGCCTGGAGACTCTCGAGGGAACTGAGAGCCGATGGAAATAATTAAATAATCAGGCAAATATACAAATTAACTAAATTATATATATATATATATATATATATACCCTCTAACACTTGCACTCTCTATTCTAATTCCATTCTTACTACTAGTTTTGTTTGTAAAAAAAAAAAAAAAAAAAAAAGAGAGCCTCTAACATTAGCATTCTATTCTACTTGTTTTATTTATTTTTATTTATTTCTACGTGTACTGCATTAAGATAAAGTCTGCTAACGTCAAAAGCGTCTGCTAAATGACTAAATGTAATGTAAATGTTTAAAAAATACTAAAATAAATAAATACTGTATGTGCAGTTGCAATATTAAGTCAAATAAATGAAAAAATGACAATAAATCTAAAATAAGAGTAGGAGTTAAACATTTTAATATTTAGAACAGGTTGATCGAAATGTTAAGGATACATGTAAAAATATAGAAAATAAACTGTAAAAAAAATAGAACAAAAATTGGGTAACACTTTATTTTAAGGTGTCCTTGTTACACGTTACATGTGCTTACTATTATAATAACAATTAATTATGCATAATTACATGCAAGTAATCCTAACCATATAGTAAGCACATGTAGTTAATCAATATTACTCAGTACTTAAATGTACAAAGACACCTTAAAATAAAGTGTTACCAAAAATTATATGATATTTATGACACTACACAATTTGATTTACTTCTAAAAGTGCTGTGAAACAAGTCAAGTGAGGGTACAGACCTGCATCAGTCACTAGAGAGACTGGAAATATGCTTTGCTTTCAACACAACTGATTCTGAATCTTTATTTTAAAACAAGTGTTGCTGTTTCTGTCACTGTAATAGGCTAAAACACCATCTTAACATCATGTTTGATTCATCTAGTCCATATAAACAGACACAATGCTTCACAATTAGCCAGAGTAAACGGACAAAATATGTAGGTAAGGTGATATACATAATGCTTATTAGAACTCAGAAACAAACTACACACCTGTACATAAAAGCACAAGCAGCACTGAAAAATTGTCCTCAAACAAATGCATTTAAAACAGAGCACATAAACGGTAACATACGGTTTCATGACGATGGAGTCAGATATGTATGCCACAGTTATGTCAAGGCAATAAATATGAAATATGGAAATGCGAACGAAAACTAATCGTGGCTTGGCTTTAAATAGAAGCTGTTAGAAGCTCATCATGCCAACATACAAAGGACTTTGCAACACCACATGTTTCGGGTTAACTCTAAAAACACATGCTTTTTTTCATGTGTTTTTAGAATAGATCTAATGCTTAATATGAAAGCATTTGTGCACGGTGCGGTTATACCGCGGCAGGTCTGCACTGCCTTCATTAACCCTGCTGTTCATGTAAAACCTTGCTATAGGATTCAATCATAACAGCTGCTTTCACACACTGCTGCCGCTGCCAGCGCCTCTGGCTCTGATCTCGTCCACGGCTTCCTCGATGGAGCGAGCGCCTCTCTTATTGGCCACAGGGACTGTAACGACGAGACGACACACACACGATCAAAACAAAGCAAGCACGGCGATCACTCTGGGCTTCGGTATAGCTCCACAAAAGCAAGTGTGTATGAGAAATTAAACATTTTGATTTACTCGTTTTAAAATGTGCACCTGGTATTAAGATCTGTTTTATCGGTCTCGTGGTTATACCTGCATCTCGAATGTGTCTTTACAGGATTGTAAGGGTTTTACATCACTTGCTACTAGCTCTGTGGTACCGCGTGATGAAAAAACACCAGAACGAGAAGCGTGAAAAAGCTCTCCGGTTCCTATAGAGTTCCATTTAAATATAGAATTTTAAGAGAAGCACAAATGTTTTGAGCAGAATTGTCCGTGTCACTGCATGCATGCATAGGCACTTTTCTGACACAAATCTGACCCCC